GAACCACTCTATCTTAAAAAATAGTGTAATTTCTAAGTTGTGTTGTATTGAAAACATACGATGAAGCCTTTTGATAGCTCGTTCCCAGTTGTGGAATGTTAGAAGCTGGTTATATCGTGTGTTGGCATGCTTATCACCAGTCCTGATTCTCAGTCGCTGGATGGAAAAAAGCTTTCTCTTTCTAGTGCAAATATTTGGATGTACTTTCTAATGTTTCATATTCACAAATGCAAATGCATAGCGTAGGAAAGAGGGATTTGGGCATTTGAAATAATTTGCTGGCTTCAGTGAGAGTACTGAAACAAGGCTGATGAGCGTGTAGGTGTACTGATGTTGTTCGGGGAGGTGGTTCTTTTAAGACACAGAATTACTTTTGTTACATTCCTTACTTTTCAGCACATTATAACCACGGTAGGTGTGGGAGAATTTTCTGTGGTAATGCATTTTGGACAGAAGCTGTAATACAGTTAAAATTTAAAGGCCTAGTTTAAATAAAAACGGCCTAGTAAAAGAAGATAGTCCTTTTTTTTTTTTTCCAAACTGGCAAGGTCTGCTGTCTGGAATCTCAGTAGCCTTGGCCTAGTGTCCGAGTCTGGGGGAGAGAAGCATTAGTCGCAGCAGAGAAAAAAAAGATCGAGTTAGGGATCCCTTTTTAAAAATGGGGCATACAGACGGCTTTTGGAGTCATTGGGGTGCCTTTGAGGATGCTAATGCTAGCTGATGTCCCTGTGAGGATGCGCCCTATCATCGTTGGAAGTTCATGGTGATTAGGAGTGGTTCCTCATCCCTGGAAAAAGGCAAGCATCACACCTATCTCCCGGACTAGCAGGAAGGAGGACTCAGTATTCAGGCTGGCCAGCCAGACCTTGGTCTCCAGGGAGAGAGCATATCCTTCAGGAAGCCATTTCCAAGCACGTAAAGGACAGGAAGGGGGTTGGGAACAGTCCGGATGGGTTTACCATGGGCAAATCATGCCTGCTAAACTGATAGCTTTCTGGGATGAGATGGCTGGCTCTGTGGATGATGGGAGAGCAGTGGATGTTGTTTATCTTGGCTTTAACAAGGCCTTTGCTACGGCATCCCATAGCATCTCTATAGCCATCTGGGCGAGATGAGGAGAGGTAGATAGGTGGACTGCAGTGTGGGTGGAAAATTTGACTGGCCTGCTGGAGAACGGGAACAGTGCGAGTGGGACTGCTCCACAAGGGAGGACAAGTCAGGAGACTGGGGTGACCCCAGCACGGGCAGTGCCCCCACTCACAGAGGGGGCAGCCCTGCAGAGCGGGCTGCAGATAACGGGCTCCATCGGCTGCTGCAGACCTGGCGAAGGGATGAGCCAGGTCTGTGCTCCATCCGAGGTGTCTGGGCAGGAGCAAAAACAGATGAAGCCAGACACGGCTGGAGACCAGCACTGCTGTGACGTCACGGGGCAGGGACCGCTGGCCCTGGGCTGAGCTGAAATGGGGTCCAGGGTCCTGGGCAGGGCTTGGGGGGCCCGGAGGAAACTAGGCAGGGCCATCAAGACCTACTGGTGTCCTCAGGGCCCGAGCTCTGGGCTCAGAGGTGACGTGATCGTAGTAGGGTATATTTGGGAACGTATTCCGTGATGTCAATTAGTAGAAAGGTAAAGGTGTAGGGACTTTAC